TTTTTTTTAAAACGTGAGTGTCAAATTCCAATGCAATTGTCTAGTAAATGAACCCATATAATACTCGATAGCACTTGGACATTATAATTCATTCATCAGCCGATTCATGGAATGGAACGAGTTATATAGAATCAGGTAGGGGGAGGAAGAGTAGTGGTGGTAGAAGAAGAAGAAGAAGAAGAAGAAGTAGTAGTAGTAGTACTAGCGGAAGAAGGAGAAATAAAAATAATAACATCAGCAGTAGGCTGCACACGCACAAACCGCGTGTCCAATGGTTCCATCGCCTATCAGACTCCAGCTTCCTTCCGGCCCAGAAATCTATTAATGGCTAGGCTTACGGGTCTCGTAATGAACCCGTAGGTCATCCACCTCCTTCTGTAGACGCGATAGATCAGCCAAGATATCATTGGCATTGGACGGATGAGGAATATATTCTTCGTGCACTTCCGGCCGCTTCTCTGAATGGAGACTTGTCGGTCGGGTGCTATCATTACTCTGACTGCTGGATCCTCGTGTGCGTCGTGGAGGCGGAGGTGGTGGCAAAGGGTTGCCTATCGACGCTCGTTTCATGGAAGGCGTCCGGGAGTTGGACTGAGATGATGGAGCCGAGGTATCTGTGCCCGGCGTGGATATCACCACACTAGCGCTCTGGTGCTGTATAGAAGGTCTCCGGGTGTTCTCCTCAGACGAAAAACCTGGTCTGGTATCCCGAGTTCGCGAAGGGTTCAAGCTCCAAGAGCTTGGACTAGGCGGAGGGGACTCAGTGCCCTCCATCTTGACGGCCGGCATAGAAAGCCTGCTAGGATTTGGCTTGGACACGGTGGTCTTGGACCTTCTCATCTGGCTGTGTCGCCTACTCAGCGGCGGTGTCGGTGGTCGCTTGTATTGAGATTGGCTGCGCTTTAAAGGCTCAATTGGCTTTTCGGCTTCGCTACTAGCCGATCCGGTGAAATAATCCACTCCTAGCTGTGATGGTTTGGGTGACGATGACGATTCCAGGGGGAGGCCATGAAATGAAAAGCGGTTTGTAGGTTTGAAAGGTGCGGGGTGAGGAGAGGAGGGAGTCGAGCCAGGGCTAGGGTTGATTAACTTCCCATGGTGGCTCTTGGGCGGAGGCGGCGGTATCTTCTCCCTATTGCCTGAACGACTGACCAGAGGTCTTGCCTCTGCATCAATTGCTGGCATATGGTCTCCTACTATAGCTCGTTTCGATGCGTCTGTTCGTGAAGTGCTTCGAGAAACATCCGTGGCGGAATTCTTTGCGGCACGAGTACCTGAATGATGGGCCAGCAATTGGATAGAGCTTCCAGACGCTATGTTACCAGAGTCTTTATAGTTTTCACTCTCGGGGAGGGATTCTTCGTTGCTTGCCCTCCCGGTCTGTCTTATAGATGGCGTTGTCGGGATCGCCGGAGCTGGTTGACTAAGGTATGGAGCTGTGCGTGGACCAGTGTTGTGGAGGGTTTCTTGGAGATAATCACCGCCGCGAGACTTGGAGACGTCAAATGTTGCAGACGATATACTTCCGTCTCGATCCTCCATGTCATCCTCACTCATGTGTATGCCCTGATGAAAGGGATCCGATACGGATTGATCATCGGAGGACATCGTGTCATCGAGGTCCGGAACGTGGGACGTGGGCGGGGCTCCGGCAAGGCCATTCGGCTGAAAGAGGGCATGCTGAGAGGCCGTAGTAGATGATGGGGGTGTAGAAAAGGCTGATTTTGCGGAGGTCGAGGTAGCGGGTGAAGAATGATGAATTGAGGGGTCTACAACGGTCAGCACTGAGCGTTGACTATCCCAAGATGCCGGAAGCGGCGGGTCGAACTCACTCTCTGTCTTTCTAGGGCGGAATGGATTTAACCCAGACATCGCAGAGAAAGTGGGAGGCACCAATCATGGGAGCGATGGGAAATAAACTGGAAGAGAAAGTTCAGAAAGAAGAGAATAACAAACATCATCAGTCGGCAAAGAAAGTCGACGGCCGCTGGCCACTCGCGCGGCTTCCGGAAAGCGCAACTAAACGGCCGATGGTTCGCGCCACGAAGTGTCGCCCCGGCTGTGCGGTCAATTAGGTACCTACACTACTGCCTAATTAAGGTACCTTTGATACTTAGTACCTTAGGAGTCGCCAACTTAACTGTATCCCGGACATATTTGAGGTAGTACTAGCCTTAAGGAGAGACTCAAAGTGAAAAGCATCAATGACTTCTTCTGCGTGTGCGTTTAGCCTGTCTTGCATCCCCGCCAGGGAAAATAAAACAAAACAAATAGTGAAGTAGAAAAAGAAAAAAAGGGAGAAATGATAAAGAATAGGTATATGTTACAAGAAGAAGATTAACCCAAAAAAAAGGGGAAATAAAAGATCGGCATGAAAAAAGCAGACTACCCTTCCCAAACACCAGGGTTATACAATACGAAATGATAAATGGTCGTCACAGTATTCCTCCCTCGAGTTCCATTGTCCGAGAAAGGAGGGTATCAGCTCGCCCGTTTATTAAGAAAAAAGCAAAAAGAGAGAAGGGTGAAAAAATGAAACGTGTATCGTCCCTCCACAGGACGGTTTTTCTCCAGATGTTAATGATATGCAAACTTCGTTCAGCTTTCCTCGTATACATGCCACTCCTCATCCCCAAAGAACGACTGCGCCAAGGCTCTACCACTTTCGGTAGGCTGGCTAAATGCCATCTGCTCCTTAGGAATTTCCATGCCGTATATAAAATTGCTGACCACGCAGTCCAAAAGATCCATCGCGATCCCTTTCCGTCGCGATGACCCGGATGTCCATATGCGTGAAATCCCCACGATCGCCGGATGGGTCTCGTTGCGAACCGTGACTGCAGAATCAGGGCGATTGGTCTGGCTAGCAGGCTTTTCAACCGGTCGTGATTCCCAAATTCGCTCCGTCAAACAGGCACCGACACATCGACTATCTTTCATATGCAGGAAAACTTTGTAACGGTCCACTTTCTCCGATACACCGTTTTTGCGCAAGTGCCTCGGGGGTTCCGTCTGGCTCCATAGGACATCATCTTGGATCTCGGGGGAAGACAACTCCTTATTGATAACCTCAAGAACCTTCTTGGCCTGATTCTTCGCGGTCGGAGACGCTTTTCGATCGACAATGACCACATAGCCCTCATCGAAGCGTGTAGCCTCATAGACCCAGCGCGAGGCATTTGCCCTCATGAATGCTTTACCCAGATCCACTCCTGTTGTATTCATATCATGAAACTTCTTATGTAGAGCTGCATCCTCCGAGTTCGACGGCACGTATTCCATTCCACAGGTCGCGCAGGTTCTTCTCACTTCGTGCCCTAGGTCAAGTTGCATCTGTTTCAAGGCGGGTTGCTGCGACGTTGCCTTCTTCTTGGGAGGGTCTACCGATGGGCGTACACTATTGGAGTTGACCTCAGTCAGTGGGGAGCTGTTGCCGGCTTCCTTGTTCGCCGATTGTTTGCGTTTGAGAAACGCGAAAGTGGGTTTTCGCGTGTTGGCCGGAGGTGAACTCAAGCGCGGCGGCGGTGAGGACGGAGGTGTAGACAGGTCATCATCCTGCGTTCCTTCAGAGAGAAGGATGGAATTGCGACGCGACGGACTGGACAGGACAGCGGCGGACGACTCGCGAATGGCGTACTGGATGCTGTTCTCTGCCTCGTCCGATTCATTCCCCGATTGGACGCGTCTTTTCTTCGCCGCTGGACTTAGGTCATCATCGTAGACGCGCCATACGGGTCTACCGTACGTTTTCATCATAAGGCCTCTAGATATTCCCTTGTTAGTTGGAGTTGCGGAATCCAAGGGGTGGGAAAATCAGGCAACGAATCACGTACCGCTTGAATGAATTTGTTACAGTCCACGGCATCTCCCTGTTTCAAATCATATATTCGAGCGAGCCAAGCATCTATGGCCTTCCGAGTTTATGCGATAGAGGGTAGGATGAACGTTGTAAGGGTGAAAATCCAACAAAAGAAAAGATGTTGACAAAAAAGGTGGGAGGTGTTTATTATGATTTCACTGATGATGATGATTTATTTTCCAAATTGACGGAAGGCTTCGGCGGCCAACTGATCGACGGGTGACGGAAACGCGTGCCCAGGAACTAGTCCCCATTTAGTCATATTGCTCGCCGGGCGCAGAAACGCATCGTGAGGGACTAAAAACGCCGCCGTCTCCTGATGGACAAAAGGGAGGGTTTCCTTCACAACTTACATACTTCTTGACCCAGGGTTCTCAAACGGGTGACCAGATAGTCAGTCTGGATATGGGATCACGGCGATATATGTGTCTGCGTGAATCCTCGCAGAAGGAGAAAGAACGGTGACTAAGTATCAAGGGATGGGGGGGTCGACGTAAGAAGATCCGCAAGAAGCAGGGGAGGCCACTCTCCAAGCTGAGAACCCAACACGAAGTCCGGAGTAACTGTTACCTAGATAGGTTTCGCTGGATTCTGCCGGTTGTTGGAGGAGACTCGATTCCAGGAGAATGCTAAGAATTCATCATCTAATATATACACCCATCAAAGGAATCCACTAATGCTTGGAGATTGTGGAACTCTAGACACGGCATCAGCTCCTCCTGTCTCTCTTCGCTGTCGTGTTATGTTTCCCAAACTTATACTTGACTTCGCCTCCTGAAATAATGAACGACGATACGGCCACCAACCATATCAGTCGTACATGCGTTGCAGCCTGGAGTATGTTAGGATCCTGAGTAGGAGTCATTCGTATGTTGCGTAGTAGATAACTTCGGTACTGTGATGATGTGGCAAGCTTGTTTTTGGTCGTATTTATTTTTCTTTTCTTTTTATTATGATTATTATTATTATTATTATGATTGAAGGACATGGAAGTAAATCGAAGAGTCCTTCATGGTGAAGTGATTCTCTCTCTGTATTACTACTTAATTTTAGATTAATCGCCGTTGGCTGACTGGAATTCCAAGTAGGTAGACTAGACGACTCCCCCGGTGCATCCTCCATACATACCGTTCAATGAGTGGATATTCACAGATCTACTGGAGGATCAAACCAGCCTCGTCCATGCCCTTGCTGATGGATCTGGCGACCTTACTGGACAGAAGAGCTGTGACGGTGTTTGCGCTGAATAAGTATTCAGTTGTTTTTTTTTTTTTGTTTTGTTTTCTTTCCTTTCCTTCTTTTTATTTTATTTTAGCTTTCTTTCCAGTTATTTTATTTTTGGCCAAATTCCAAGACAGGGGTACTGAATAGACATAACCTCGACTCTTCTGTTCTGTTCCCTGCAAATGGCATGTTTGTGATTCGTAAAGGGGTGTAATACATTCATCTACTCCGTACTCTGTATATTCCCTAGATGTACCACGCAAAAAGTTCAAATAAGAATCATCAATACACCTCTTTAGAAATTGACTGCTCAGGCCCACCCCTTTTTTAGGTTCCCCCTCTTCCACCTTCTTACTGATTATGGTACTCAGTAGAACTGCACTGAGAAAGTAACTAACCAGTCAATCCTAGTGCTATCCCCAGGATCGAGTAGATAGTTTGTACCTGTACCTCTGACCGTACACCAATATATGACTCTGGGTTTGCTTATCGTGACCAAGTGGTATCAGTATTACCTTCTGACCAAGTGGAAAGTGGTAAAACTTAGCCCAAGTGGGATTCCATGGTGGCAACTTGTGAGGCATCTGATCATTACCCCGCTAAAGTCCATCACACATGAATGGAGGCCGAGAGAGATCGACAGAAGCACATTCTAATTTAGTTATCATATAGAGTCCGTAGAACGGCAGGTTGGTTTATCCTCGTTTCATCACTCCTCGAGCAGTGTGCTGCTGCAGGGTTCCGATGTTAGAACGCCATCAGTCAATAGACGCCAGGTTATGAACAGATCCTGTGCATAGAGATAGATCTAAGGCACTCCTTATTTACCACTAGTTCAGTCAGACTGTGTTCCACTTTCAAAATTTCCCGGAGTAGATAACGGCTATGGACACTCCGTCGCATAATGGTTCCTCCAGAACCCGGATACGTTGAAGAAGTACAGTGCATACATATCATCGAACACTTCCAAAGTTCCAGCCACCGAATAGATGTGCTCATGGCAAACTCTGCAGGGTGTACTTTGTTCTAGGTGGTAGAAAACAAGCTCAAACATCACAGGTGTAACCTTAACATGGAAGAGGTGGTTGCCATGCGCCTTTCAATGGCCAAACTGCTGCCTTCGTGTATGTACGGGGTGGTACATCGAGTCATCTGAAAGACACCAGGTCGATCCTCAAACTTGGCAGTGCTTCCTTCCCAGTTGAGCTCTAGGGTCCTTGTGTCAAGTATGCCTTGAGAACCCAGGTATAGATTGGTGCATACGGCCGGTCAAGGGTCTACAAGAAGCCGTGCCGGTTACTGATCCTTAGGCTTTTTCTCACTACAATCTCAAAGACGAGATGAGATGACATTGAAAATGACCCCTGGTAATCAGGTCTATGATGTACTGTATTGTTGATAACTGATAAGTGTTGAGGGGAAATGAGTATGACTTCAAATAACATAGTAAGCTTATGTGATAGAATATTTAGATTAGACATAGGAGGTTAGGTCAGATCAATGGAACATACTCGGCGAACAATGGCGCTGTCAGACAGACACTGGGTGGTGAGCGAGAACTGGGGGAGTCGAGACATGCATACCTCCTTCACTCATCCGTTCTCTGGAGTCTAGATGGATTGGAGGTTTGAGGAGAGTGGAGCAGGGTGAGAAGACTGGATGAATGGGGATTCAGTCTGACTGGGTTGACTATTCCACTTCAGTCTAGCTGTCCCGAAGCAGCGTTGATTCCTAAGGCGGGCCGAAGTAAGTCTGGCAGTTTGGCTTTGGTTTGCTCTAATTTTTTTCTTTTTCTTTTTCCGCTGTCTGCGAATCAACCCGCCGGTCCAACAGTCACATCTTTCAATCTTATCACCTTTTCAGGTCCAATATTCTGTGGTCTGCAGAGAACCGTCAAAAGCCACGGAGCAGGTAGGTAGGAAGAAAGAAAGCAAGAAGCATTGTGCCTTGTAATTACATCCACACTTAAAGGTCCTATCTCCAGTCCTTGGCTCATTCTCTCTGTTCGGGTCTTTTTTTTTTTCTCTTTTCTCTCCTCGTGTCAATCCTCACCCCGAGGGAAAGCGAAAGAGCATTGTGAAAGCTCTTCTAGTTCCCCTTCAGTCACCACGAAATTCGATCGTTCAAATCCGACATCATGTCACAAGATATTCAGGCAGCAGGGAAGAGAAAGCGTGCGAGTACGTATACCACTTGAGTCCCCATTATTTACCTTATATATCATATCCGGTCGTAACTCAGAGCCTATTCTTTTGCCTTTTTTTTTCCCTCTTTTTTGCCCTCCCCATCCAAACTCTCTTTTCTTTTTTGGTTATCGAATCCCTTCTGCATCCTTATTTCATGTCTCGAGGCACCAATTCGAAGACATCGGTCTACTTGGACTTTTTTCGAGTGACCGTCCGTCCTCTATAATATTCTCTATCCTTCTTCGTTGGTTCCGCATTCCACGGCCGTGTCCAATTTTTTGAGACAACGCCCGTGTCACCCCGACTTCATTACCCCCCGCTTTCATCAAACCAGTTGTGGTTCTCTCAAGCCAGCCCCGCAACCATCAACCCCTCCTTTAATATCCCGTTCAACATGCCATCCGAATGCACTGTAATGTATGCTAATCGCAATCAAACTTCAGGGACTCAGTCTTGCCCGCCCCCGGAATTACCTCAACTCGTCGCCGAGCAACATGTTCCTATTGCCGCCAACGACAAGGAAACCCAACGCCTAATTGTTGTTCTCTCCCATGCTAGTCTGGAGACCTATCGTGCCTCCCACGGTGGACGCAATGGCGCCGGTCGTGATGAGAAATACTCCTTGCTGAACAGCGATGAGCATATCGGTGTGATGCGCAAGATGAACAGAGACATCAGTGAAGCTCGACCAGATATCACTCATCAGGTATATCTTTCCTTAAGTTGCAGCTCCAATTTATGAGTCTTCGATGAGAGAAACTAACCGGACATGGTGCAGTGTCTTCTCACGTTGCTCGACTCCCCTGTCAACAAGGCCGGCAAACTCCAAATTTTCATCCACACGGCCAAAGGCGTTCTGATCGAAGTGAACCCAAGTGTTCGAATTCCGCGTACGTTCAAGCGTTTCGCTGGTCTCATGGTCCAGCTCCTGCACCGACTCTCGATCCGCTCCACCAATTCCCAGGAGAAGTTGCTCAAGGTGATCAAGAACCCCATCACCGATCATCTGCCCCCGAATTGCCGCAAGGTGACCCTCAGTTATGAGGCTCCCGTGGTGCGGACCAGAGATTACATTGAGTCGCTAGGCCCTAAGGAGAGCGTGTGTATCTTCGTCGGGGCCATGGCCAAAGGTCACGATGACTTTGCCGATTCATTCAAGGACGACACAATCAGTATCAGCAACTACAGTTTGAGCGCTAGCGTGGCGTGCAGCAAGTTCTGCCATGCGGCCGAGGAAGTGTGGGATATTGTATGATTCGCACGTCTCGGATACAATATTCCTTCGATAGGAACGGCCAAAGCTTGACGAGGTAACGAATTTCCTTGCGACTATCCACCCAATTTGAGATGCCAGGAGTGCAGCAAACACCAACTTTGGAAGGACGTGTGTGCCACATCCTATTTACCGTTCTGGGCTCACTACCTACAGTCTCCTATTGTTTTTTGGTATCTTTCGCGTTTCCTGTTTTTTGTGCATCATGGCAGCCTTCAGCGCCGCGCGATACCGAAGGTTACACGATCACTATATTAAGGGCTCTTTTAAAGAGCTATCAGCTTCCGTTTGGATAGCTCGCCCTTATCAAGAAAGCATCAGGGATATCTGCGATAAGAAAGTGGTGAGGGTGTGGTCTGGGTTCTTCCAAAGTTCTTCTGCCACTAGTCTTTGCAGTTCGACCAACCCCAGCGAGGTTCTGCGTTCTTCCACAATCTGCATATCTTCAGTCTCCTTTGCGCGAACAGAGGTAACTGTACAGTGCTGGGGCTTTGTATTGCACCTGAAGATCAAGAGATGATGTGATTGTTAATAATAGAATTAAGTACACGAACATAATGGGGAAATCAACTATTGGCAATGTCTTTGGGACAAGACGCTCCGCGCTCATGCTTGACATTGACATCAGTCAATATTTGCTTCCTTTGTTGGTAGGAGTAGGGTAGCACGTTGTCACGTAGGTATGTAGGAGTACATGCATGCTTCGGAGAAGCGAAACGTGTATAAAATATTCAGCGGCCTGCATGTCAAAGACAGTAAGTTGAGAGGCGAGTCGCAAAGCGGCCATAAAATAAGATCACTAATGATATCAAGATATCGGGTGGTTTGGTGTAGCCAAAAGATAGTTCAAGGTGGAAGAAGAAGAGGGAAAGGGAAAGGTGAACAAGACGAACCATCGTGACCAAATGCCTGAGGCCATGCAACTCTCTCACAGCCCTTTTCGTTTGTCCCCTCCATCACTACACTCTGCCTCCTTTCCCTCTTCTTCCCCCTTTTTCTCTGTGACTCACTTCTATCTGTGGGGTCTAACAATAAATGCACCATTGACCCAGAATGGAGAATTGCATTGACTCCATATGCAAGTATCGATCGGGGTGGTTCGAGTGGCTGGGAATGGAGTCTCCCTCTTCAACGTGGCATGCAGACATCGCAGCAATTCCTTGATGTGGATCTCCCGCTTCACTTGACTTGTGGACGGATTGATTCGTGTGGCATTTCTGGAGGGGGGCGGTTTGGTTACGTGCAAAACCATTCATCCTAGTTCATTACTGGAGTTAAGGATCAACGCTGATGCCAGATCCTCTGCATGGGCCCAGTCTCTTGAAACCAAGTGAGGCCTGCCCAGTGGCCATTTCATTTTATTTGCTTTCGTTCTCCTTCCTTCCGGAAAACATGACCCTTAATGTTACATCCCCTCATTCGTCGAATAGCCATGACACTTGATCCACGACACCGAAACCAAGTGGGTGTTGTTTGGCGGTCAGACGGCGCCATTCAGCGACTAAGAGCAGCAGAAGTGCCCAAAGCAGGAACAAAACTCCCCATCGGTCAGGGTGACCAAATGCCCCTCAGTGGCCCCCCCAGACGGTCCTTTACGTGAAACTATTCGTCTTTGCCCTGTCTTTGAATGCAAGAGCACCAAGGCACCTTGTGTAAGTTTCTTTCAAGACCAAAGCCCAACTACCCTGGCTGGGGCCTATCGAGCTAGAATCTTGAATCCCCTTTTTTAGCATCATTTCCTATCTCAGTTCTTATGGCTACTATTATTATTATTATCATCGTGATTACTGAAAAATAGTAGGAAGGAGTACTGTGTTGTCTCTACTGACTCCACCACTACCAATCACCATCCTCCACCTCAACCCTGGTATCGTCGCCTCATTCACTTCAACTTCTGACATGATGCGGTTTGATGCTTGGCCCATCTGCAGTATCCACCGTTTCCTGATAGGCGCCCCATCCGATGCCGACAGGGCCACCTACAGGACCGGCCGCCAGGCTTTCCCCACGATGACCTGGCGGACTGTGAGAGCGTTTTCTTCCCCTCGTTTCTAGCTTCACCGATAGGTAACATCATGGGTCTCTTGACCGTCTTCCGACAGGATTTCGTCTTTTTCGGTAAGAGAACGCAGAGCCAGTCTAGGTCGACACTTCGTCGGGATTGGTTTGCTTTCGGACGCATTGCGAGCTTATGCAATAATACCTGCTATGCTAGACCGTGTTTTGCATCACTAGAGCAGATTGTTTCCTTCGGGAACAAATCTTTCTTTTTTGTTAGCTTCCGATCAGTCTGATTGGATATAAGTTGGGCACTCTTGGGATAACCCCCGTATAGATAGCTTGGCCTCGAAATAATATATCTTGTCACCCTGTTGCTCCTTCCTTTACGTCCCATTCTACTTTTCACTTGATCATTACTGTTCGTACATTCATATATCCTTGTTTTTCTCCAAACGTCTTTTCCCGTTTCAACCTCAGTCAATCTTCAGGTTGGGACCCTGTACTTGTGAGGACGAAGTCTGAAGCATTTGGTTATTGCTTCCATCCTCTATATCATACTTCCTCCCCTAGGATCAACCCGTCGCGTGCGTACTCGCTGACAACCCAGCGAGTCCTTCTCCTCATTGGACATGCCTGTATCACATCTTACCTTGACTGTCTCACACCTCCCCACCTCAACATCATTCTTCCTTTCCTGTCTACAGCCCCTGGGCTATCAGTTTATTGGTCGTCATGACGATTATATTGGCTTCGGCCAGAACCCCGGGAACCGGCAGACTTTTGGATAACGGAGCAAAAACCAGGGTAAGTGAAAGCGCCCGGCCAATGCAAACCCAAGTTCATGCATGATTGTGTGCTGAATCGCTTTTTAGGGTGCCAGCTGCGCCGCACATGTTGCATTTCCTGCCCCATCAAAGGATGCAGTAGGCCAGTTCTTCATCCACGCATTGAAGGCTGGGGGGAAGATTCACGGAGAGCCAAAAACCCGTGATTCTGAATCTGGCTACTACAGCGCAGCCATCATCGATGTTGATGGTAACAGCATAGAGGCCGTTTACCGTCCGAGTAGCTCATCAGCTAGGTCGGAGGTTAGCAGGTCAGCTTTGGCTCTTCTCGAGAATGGCTCGGTTGTATCAAAGACAGCTCCCTCGATTGTCTCGAAAGCGACAAGCAAAGCCAGCTCTGTCAGGCCCGAGAGCGTGGCTCCTCCCAGATCCGAAGCTAGATCCTATGTTTCCAAGGCGACGACTGCTGTGGAGCGAGCTGCACCCTCTGAACGTGGAGTGCCATCAGTCATTTCCCGTGAAGTTCAGCCGGCGCCGTCACCAACATATGTCGTGCATCACACCACCCAGAAAACCGACGACGGCAAGGCAGCGAAGACCATCGTTGGTACTCTTATCGGAGCTGCTGCGGGCGCGGCTATTGCATACGCAATGTCAAAAGGCGATTCAGAGCCTTCTGAAACTACAACACCCCCACCCCAATACTCGCCCCGAGATTTCGCGCAACTTATATCTCCATCCCAAGCCTCATCTCCATCCCAGGAACTGCAAGGCTTCAGAGCCATCGAGGCTCCCCCGGCCAGGAGTGTCTACTCTCAGTCAGAAGTACGTCCGACCTTGACTCGCAGTGTCACCTCAAAGAACCCTCGTGCAAGCACCATCTACGAGGGCTCGGAATTTTTTCCGCGAGGAGGCGGGGGCAGTGTGTACCTTGATCAGAACGGACGCCGGGCCTCTGAGGGAAGCATGTACAGTGGTAACGACTATCCTGTCAGGGCGATTGAATACCCACCATCGGTTGATTCCCGGGGTTATGAGGCCACTCTGATCAGCAGCTTCCATGACAAGTCACGAGCGATGGACAACGGAAGCGTGTATTCGTCATCGACGATTAGGCCATCCAAGGCCAACTATCAAGACCATCACTCTTCGCACAGCTCACACCATTCGTCGCACCATTCTTCTCGTCATTCTTCCCGCCATTCAATTGCAAGATCTCATTCCAGCAGCACTGTCTCAGCGACGCGTAGTGCCTGCAACGTCCCACTGCCCGAAGGCTCTATAGCATCATTTGCTTCCAGCCGCAGCGGTGCTAAATCAGGTGTTTCTGCCCGCAATATCCCGCTTCCAGAGAGCGTATATGACGATGTTGACGTCGAAACCAATGTTACTCCCGATGATTCAATCAGCCAGGTTGATGATTCGAGGAGATCCTCTGTCTCCCATCGTTCCCACGCCTCTAAAGCGGCTTCCCGGGTTTCTAGACATTCCAGCAAATTTGATGAGCCCGTCAAGCCAAGTGACAGTGTGAGCCAGGTTTCGAGCCATGCTTCGAGGGCATCACAGCGGACCATCAAGGCTGGCGGCAGCGTAGCAGGGGGCTCCAAGGCTCCTTCCAAGGTCAGCAGTCGGAGGGGAAGTCAAGTTGCATAGGGAAGATTTTGCTCTCTTCTTCCCCGCTACACTGCTACTTTTTTTTTATCGCTTCTTGCATCTCTTCTCATCGTCTTCATCTCTCTATATGCTGAGTCTTTCATCATACTTCAAATTCATCATGACATACAAAACTAAGTATGGCATGTTCACAGCATCACCATTGGCGTTATGTTCTGTATACATTGGAAGAAGTTATTGCTATTTGGGATCGATTCAACAATCAGTTTATTTTTATATCGACAGAAATGGTATCCGAGAAAGAGGAACAATCTATACCACAGACTCGGACAGGAGGTCCAGATCCTTAGTTCTGACAAAATACAACGTGGACAGGAAAAATGGGCTTGATGATTCCATCTTCAAATTTGGGTCAGTTTATATATAGCGTGCTCTGTTTTCATATTACACGCGAGGTTCCGATATCGATATACACACATATATATATATATACATACGCATCATTGTGACACACCTTCAGCCTTGGGCGACCGTACTTCTATAGACATACAGTTTTATACTATTATGAATTCTGGGCAATTGACTGCGAAAACTACGCACGTACGACGAGTTACGAAAGAAACACGTCCGCCACCTTGAAATAAGATATCATCAATAGACTGGTTTGATTGGTCTTTGCCTCGATAGCTGCTATCTGATACAAACGCCAGCACCAGTACACCATCGCCACCTGATTTCCTCACGCCGTCTCATAACCATCACACCTCAGGCAAGCCTTCACGACCGTACCAGCAACATCCTCCTCCATCCTATCCCCGGCCCAAGGACGGACCCACGAGCCTTGGGCTATATGCTCATCACGTAATTTGCCCGACTCCATTGATTGAAACAAAAAGATGCCATGAATGCATGAGTATTGGTCATAATGATCGTTGGATATGACATTTCCCGCCGACAGGGAGAAAACGATAAAGAAAATGGGTAACAGGTAATTTAAGACACGCAAATGGAAAACAAGGAAAGGATCTACGATCACGGTACGCCAGGCTTCGGATCTGATCTAACGGAGCGAAAGAAGACGCAGAAGCGATTTGGAAGACCAAGGTGGCCGTGTTATATTGGGATTCGAAGATCAGATAGCATATTTCCGGGTCCATTCGCGGGCGGTCGCTTCATACCGAGGGCGGTCAGTCTTGTACACATGCGCAATTTCAGGCACCAATGGGTCGTCTGGATTGGGGTCTGTAAGCATCGAACAGATAGACAGCAGCACTGCGAAACAACGGTTAGTCTTGAAAACGGCGATCGCGGGATACGGACGACGAACCTTTAGAGATTGTGAGAGCAGGACTCCATTGATCTCTAAGAATGTCGAGACAGATGCTGCCGTTAGAGTTGATGTTGGGGTGGTAGATACGAGTGGTGAAGTTGACCTTAGGCGGCTTGAATGGGTAGTCGGTAGGGAAGTGGATTGTTAGGAAGAAAACGCCTCCCGAGTATGGAGAGTCACCCTGATAAACCAATCGCATTAGTGATAATGTTCGCAAGTATATGAAAGGCGCATGGGCAGGCCACAAGGTCCCTATTTGTTCAGGAAGGGCGAGCCTCAAGGCAGCCAACAAGGTGTTATGATTCGGAATTCACTCACAGGACCCATAATAGTAGCTTGCCAGTGGAACTGCGAAAAGATTGCCTGTCAGTATTTGATTTTTGGGGTTTTATATAAGTTCGCGATCGACGGGTGCAGGGGACAGGGGATCGAAGTGCTGGTCCCGCGACACCGCCGTCAACGGGAACGGATTGATATGTAGGAACCAGGAGGGGGGATTCAGAAAATCATACCAGGTCTTCACCTAGAGGTCCAGCGGAGCAGGAAGAGGGGGGATCACTATTAAAGAATGGAAGCGTTAGCATTTCTGGAGAACAGCGATTAGATCAAAGGAGGGCATGGTTTAGGAAGTGATTCATGAACGCCCCGCGGGAATAGTGGGGTGTTTCGTCCAGTGGCACGATGGAGAAGAGGGGAAATCATGGAGATAGAGATATAGATATCTTACCGGCCGAGGTCAGTGAGTTCCTTGTTAATTCTCTTAAGAGCCATTTTGTAGGTGATGTGAGGTTTTTTTTCGTTTCCTTTAAAAAAAAGAAAGAGGCTTTTGGAGCGACCACTCAGTCGAAAGAGCGGTTAGTATCGAATTTAAGAAATCTGCACAGCACAATCCGGTCAGTACTCTAAGGCGTAGGGAGAAGGGGAAAAGAATACAATAGGATGTAATGGACAGGAAGAGAAGGAATACGTCAAGAATCGAAGGAAAGATTTTTGGGGGAAAGGAGTGTTGGTGGTGAGGTACTCACAGCGAGATTGATTACGTCGGAGGGGGGGCAAAAAGAGAGGGGGAATTTGGGCTGAAAGAAGAAAAAGAGGAAGAGAGAGAGAGCGAAGAGGGAGAGAAAGGGAAAGGCAAGAGTGGATGAGCGAGATCCAGTGACCGTATTACGGGTCATAATACTGTACCATACAGACCTTCCTCTCAGCCACATCCCCTCTAAGCCACACAGAGGGCCTCTAATACTAAGTAGTAAATTTAATATACAATTATCCATACATCCATGATGCTCCGGACAATAGTACGAAATAGGTAGTACCTACCCTGTAAGTTTTTCAATTGCGCAAGTGCCAAAGATGACCAGGTTAAGGTATCGCCACTTTCAGTCATGATTCTTGTCTGTGACTGGACACTGGATCCTATGCCTGTAATGGACCCTCTTTTCCCTTCTTTTTCTTTTTTCCTTAAGGGCCTTCTTACCTTGACAATTGCAAAAGCGGAAGAACACTTCCAGAGGTACACTCTGGAGTACAATGGAGACCCATCTTGTCGGGATACTTTGTAACATCTACATACGGCGTACATACAGCGGACAGCGTAACAAATGGTTTCAAGTTCGTTTCTCTCCAACACACAAGGCAAGGTCTCAAATACACACTCACTCATACTCTATGTATATCATATATAGAATGATCTACCTCATTCTTGAAATCCAGCAACTTCCCGTTTTATTTGATTTTTTTCATCAATTTGTCATTCTTATCAAGCCTCGCGTGTCCACGTGGCGCAGTCCAAAATCACGTGCATATAAGGTACCGATTCTCGAAGGCTCTACTACCAAGTAGCAGTACTTACGACTCGGCGTCTATCGTGTAGTGATTGAAGCTAGATCAGCAACAGACACGGGGCATTTGACTGGCCGGGTTAGACATTAAACCATGTTATATGACTAGATGCACCGTTTCTTTCTGTCCCGACCTGTTCAACTACTATATTTATACACATTACTGTTTCCAAATTAGTCGCAAGCCATTCTACGAGGATGACAGTGGCAAGTGTCCTAAACAAACGCCTGGACTCCAGTGATGGCGCGCCCCAGAATCAATGCTACGCCAATCATTAGCACCGGGCCCCTTTATGCCGGAAAGGACGGCGATTTTAACTCGGTCTAATACTCACCGTGAATGTCGCTCTGCCCCTCATATGTTTGCACCACAAACAGGTTGGCTACATGCCGGCCGATATGGTATTCATCGCTGGTTGCATTTCCGCCGAAAACTTCTTGAAGTCTATCGCATGGTTAAGATCAGTACCATAATCCCGACTAGGAAAGGGGAATGAAAGTGGGACTGCTTACATCCGAGAGTTGGCCAGGGCGCGGTCACAGTTCTGTCTTTTGACCATGGAGATCATTTCAGGGGTAGATTTGCCTTCGTCCTTGAGTCTAGCAACCTGGGTCGCTGCCAGCGTTCCATAAGCAGCATCTGTGGCAGCATCCGCCAACTTCTTCTGGATTAATTGATACTTCGCCAGAGGGTTGCCCTTGAACTGCTTCCGCTCCAGGGCATAGGTCCGGGCGCGGCTAAGGCAGTCCTCAAGAGCCCCCATGGCTCCAAAGGCAATTCCTAGTCGAGCACTGTTAAGACAGGTGAAAGGCCCAGTGAGACCTTCAACATCGGGGAACATATTCTCCTTTGGAACCGGGCAGTCGTCCAACTGAATCATACCGGTGATAGACGCCCGTAAGGCAGTCTTATTCTTGATAGCCGGAGTCTCCACGGTGCCTGGAGGGCATTGGTCACGTTCCACCACAAACCCGCGGATCTTACCTGTGCTCTCCAGTTTGGCCCACACTATCATGATATCGGAGATGGGGGAGTTAGTAATCCAAGTCTTCGTGCCGGAGAGCGAGTAATAGCCCTTCTTAGTAGGATGCTCTCGTGCAACCGTTTCCATAGAACCAGGGTCTGAGCCATGATTAGGTTCTGTAAGACCAAAACAACCGGCAATCTTTCCCTTGGCCAGCCCTGGTAGAAATCTATCCTTTAGCTCCTGGGTTCCAAACTCGTAGATGGCCGTCATCGCCAGCGAGCTCTGCACGGACATCCCTGATCGGTATCCGGAATCTACCCGTTCAACCTCCTTCGTGATCAGGCCCGACGCAACAGTGCTGGCACCTGCACAACCATAACCCTCAATGCTGGCGCCAAGAAGACCCAGTTCGCCCATTTCTTCCAGTATTTTGCGATCATAGTTCTCGTTTCGATAAGCATCTGACAGATACTCATAAGTCAGCATTCATATCCATTATCCCTCTGCGTAACGTATGGAGCCTTTCATAGACCGGTGTCGGCCCTGCCCCAAACAGGGAGGTCGCATACCGAGAACTCGGGGTAACAAGCGCTCTTGGCAATACTGTCGCGCTGTGTCCTGAATCGCCAATTCCTCCTCCGTATATAGCTCCGATGCAGCCAGAGGATCTTCCCAGTTGAAGGCGGTCGCGAAGCCGCGCATTGGCGCATTAAGTGAAGCTGTAGGCGTCTTGTGCACGTGGCTTGCCGACTGGAGGTGGCGTGAAGCTGCACGGAGCAATGATCGATTCATGATGAGTAGTATAAGCCGCGTTAAAAGATGGAAATTCTTCAAACAAAGGTGGAAGCGACGTGGATAAGCTCTTTCTATGGATATATAAACGTTTTACAGCAGAATTGACAGCTAGTACGGCATACGCGAACATAAATAGTAGTTGTTGCGGGGAAGCTGCTTGAATCGCCCGAACTAGAAAAGGACGATTTTCCCTCGGCAATCGCCCCGGGTGTCGGCCTCCCGTTTGGAGACTTCCGCATCCACCTTCCGCAACCACAAGGTACAGCCGCAAGCCAGCCCGTTGATACTCAGATCGGGTAAGAAGGATCTCAGAAAATAGGGCCCCTGCCGTTCAATACATCCTATGGGTAGTGCAGGCGGATATTCGGCATTTCCCCACCCACTATTTATCAGTTTCGGCTTGTGTTCTGTTCCCTCGGCAGCGTCGCCCAATGAACTGATAGAACTTCGTATCTACCATATTCAATGTAAAACACAAGAGGAGGGAAGAAAGAAGGAAAGAAATCAATGGAAGCAAGTCGCCATTGTCGAGCCTCTAGTTGTATCGTAGAATGGCTTGTGGACATGTTGCCATCCCCATTATGCCACGCACTACGGCCTAGCATCAAGCTAGATCGTACACTTCTCGATTCTTATGTACGTCAAGATTGTTATACAATTGGCTCATTGGCTTGAGAAATTTGAAACACGACTCGCATTAGGTGGTTCTTCGTGTACTGCCGCAGCAATTTGGTTTCGTAGACGAAGACTCCTCGTCCTCTAATGAGTGAAGCTAAGTGTACCGGTTGCAAAACTTCGCAGTGAAGTCTGCCATCCTGCGGCATGTTGAGGACAAGTTGCAGCCCCAACCCTCGGAAATATCGGAGGATTCGTCTGTGAATTATAGGACACGGTCTCCGGTATGGAGGCTCTTTCAGTTCATGTAGCAGCATCCCGAGCGAGACCTCTCCCCATGTGGAAAATCCCGGTGTATAAGAGACCAAGTAAATTAGGCTTCACCACCTCATGAAGATCCGCCCCAAAATGCTCTAATGCTGTATAGAAACTAATCAAGGCTATAACCAGGAAAAGGTGTGTATAACAAGCACAACCCTGTCACAATTTGCAAAGGTTCATGGAGGCAGTGGCCTGAATCAGGCGGGCATTTGGGACTGAAGGAAGTCAAAGACCCCTGTAGGGAAATACTCCTCATCAAAGCCCCACAGATCAGCCATCATAGGATCCACAGAGCCTTCCGAGAGACCTGGCTGTTGCTTCGATTGTGCCGCAGCAGATTCAAATCCACTGCCTCTCTCAGCAGACAAGGGAGCGATGCCCAGTAGCGGGGGCGGGTGGTTTAATATAGTATCCCGCTCACCCAGTGGTTGTGCCCCAGGAATTATTATGGGTTTGAACATAGAATTCTGAGAAGGGTCACGAAAGCTTTGTCCTGTGGACTGTCCGTTGTAAGAGTTCCTTTTCTCCCACTCCTCAAGTCCCGTAAGCATTTTTCTCAGGCCACGGGCTATGTGGTGACTGAGGTGACGCTCGCTAGCTCGCCTACTGCAGGACACCATCAGCTCAATAATCCGTCCAACCAAGGCCCGCACGTATGCGATATCGATGGATAGACCCGCTGATGCAATAGAATTCTGCTTGCCTGGCTGACTAGGAATACAGCTCGAGCAGCTTCTTGCTGCGATCTTCAACAGAAATACAGCGGCAAAGGTGATCATGCTATGTAGATACAACGGGACACCGACCAAAGCTCTCTGTATATCAGGTTCATCCAGAACGACCAATAGAGTACCAATAGCAGATTCGATGGCCAGGTTTGCTCGTTTTTTTCGCTCGTTAGATAAGGGGCGGGCTGACAGTGAACAATGATATGTCCGCAATGCAACAGAATTGAGTTGTAGGCGGGAGAAATGGTAGTGTAGGTAGACAGCTTTATAGGGGTACGCACCAACATAACGACTCCCGGCTATTCAATCCAACATGTTAGATCGCAGATATTCAATCAGAAGGCTTAAGGGCAACTATACCTAGGCGGGGTAGCCATCCAGATTGCCACTCCTCAAGATCGGCGTCAAATTTGTCGATTGTAGTAAACTCGTTCTCGGGTACCTCAAGGTCGACGTCGGGGCCAAAAGCATGGTATATGCGAGTAAGGATGATAAACAAATCCACCTGGCTATGCAAACGCAGGTCGGATTGTGTTACTGTGGGGGACATGGTAAAAGTATTATGATTGGTGATACTCTTGTCCTCATGAATTATAGGTGGTCGGCCATAAGCGATGGAAAAATGGTGCTCTAGAGTCTAGTATCGTTAGTTTCTGCAATACAAAACTTCAATGGAGAAGACTTACATAGAGAAGGTACCACAATCTTGCTTGTTCTTGGTGCTCAGGTGAGCCTTGAGTAGCCTTTCTATATGATTGGTGTAGGTTGCGCTCGGTTGCAATACGTACTGCATACCCCGACAGCTTCCAGCTGACATCTGCAAGCCAAAAAGCGCCTATACATAAAGCGCGTAAATCGTCCAAGGTATGGTGTCTATCAAGCATTGACTCTGATGCCAATTTCGCGAATTCAGTGTAACAGGTATCAAAAAGTCTTTCTTTTTGGGGCATATGCAAAGCTGTAACAGTGAGGATGGCTGCAGCCAACATTGAAGAAGAATTTCGGACTGATGTGAGGTCCTTATGCACAAGGGCTATACCATCCCATAGATAGCGGTTGAGTACCTGGTCAAAGAAATAGAATAACTCCTCCGCGTCTTGTAAATCCACAGTCCCTCGCGAGATCAGGTCAGTGTCGCGGTCCGAAGTATGATGCCGTTCGGGAGTACTTTCTTGAATATCACTCAGCTGGGTCACTTCATACAAGCTGCCCATCGGAGCTGTAACCAATAGTTTTTCTTCCCTGTCAATAGCAGTTTGCAATCGTTGCTGGGTGATGAGGGAAGGCGGGTGGGATACTCCTGTTCCTGATTTGGCACCACCATCGGTCGCATCTCTTCCAAGATCGCCTCTCGAGATATGTATGTCTTCTGTAGATACTGTAGATCCCCGTCGATCGCTCTTCTTATGTGGTGTTTCTGCTGATTTGCCAACGGCTTGATAGTATGAGAGCTCTGGTAATTGTGCCTTTCTGAGCAAATCGGTCATGGCAAGCTCTATCGTTGTCTTCCATCTACACGGCGTGTATTATCGGGTTAGCGAGGATACATGCATGGTGGAATCCGGGTTCAAACAAAGCAAAGCGCACATACTCTGCTTCATCGTCGAGCAAAGTTTGGAGGCTCTTGTTTACGACACATTCCAAGCCCATGCGCCGACATCTGGAGCAGACCGATTCCCCTGCCTTCATATCACAGCGGACTTTATGCCTTTTGCATTCGGTGCACGCACGTATTTTTCGAGAAATCTTGGGTATATGTATTGATTCACGTCGAGAGTTAGCCTCCGGCGCAGGATACGGCAGAGCACCTCGGGGAGGTGAAGCGGACGACGCATCGCCATTGGCTTCGAAATCAAGGCGACTGCGTTTCATGGTATAGAAAAATTCATCGCTAAGGTCTCAGATTGCAATGGGGCCTCGTTTCTTTTTATAGATATTGTCTACGGCCACAGGAGTGGATGCCAAGTGGAAAGAGGGGGGGGTTGCGGAAGATACTAGTAGTGATGGAGAGAATGCGAACTCCTCACTGCCTTAGGCCATACTGTTTAAGCTTACTCCGTACTCGGTACTGAAACCGTTCCTTTTCACTGGCCAGACCTACAGTAGAGGGACCCTAGAGCCTTAGGCGAAGGGGATGGGGATTATTAGCGGGGAAGTCACGTGGGAGTTATGTCCCCAGAAGCTAATCCCAATACGGTCTAATGATGTATTCCCGCCCGTCGCGCGTTCTGCAAAGCTCGGCGCGTGTTGGGTCGCGGCACCACTCTAGAAACCTTTTCTGTGATCTTGTTCAAACCAAAAAGTAGTCCTGACTGGCTTCCCTCGCCGTTTTCATCGTACAACAGCAGGAAACTCATCATGGGTATTAAGCGTAAGTTATTCTCAAACCTAACTGCCTGTTGCAGCACTGCCGTAGAAGCTCATTTGGTACTAACTTTGAGTTTCTCTACAGACCTATACCAGGTAATCGCGGAGAATGCCCCTGATGCGGTCAAGGCGGGGGATATCAAAAACCATTTTGGCCGAAAGGTTGCTATAGTATGTGATGTCCTTCCTTCCGTTTATGAGCTGTGCATTAGGACGCTGTCTGGCTAACGGGTGGTCCCTGGAATCTAGGATGCGTATGTAACTTGATCGTTTTTGGGAAACAAAGAGAGACTAGAAACTAACATACCACAGCTCCATGAGTATCTACAGTTTCCTCATTGCCGTGCGCTCCGAGGGCCAACAACTCATGAGCGACACCGGCGAGACCACGTCGCATCTAATGGGCATGTTCTACCGCACTTTGCGAATGGTCGACAACGGAATCAAACCCCTTTATGTCTTCGATGGAGCTCCGCCAAAACTCAAGTCGGGCGAGCTAGCCAAGCGTACCGCTCGAAAGGCCGAAGCTACTGAGGCTCATGAGGAGGCCAAGGAAACCGGCACAGCGGAGGACGTTGAGAAGTTTTCACGGCGTACAGTACGGGTTACGAGAGATCACAATGCGGAGTGTAAGAAGCTGTTGAAGCTGATGGGCATCCCATACATCGATGCCCCCACCGAGGCGGAGGCGCAGTGCGCAGTCCTTGCACGGGCGGGAAAGGTCTATGCTGCTGCTTCCGAGGATATGGACACGTTATGCTTTGAAGCACCTATTCTCCTCAGACATCTTACATTCAGCGAACAGCGAAAGGAACCGATCCTAGAAATTCATCTCAGCCGCGTGCTGGAAGGACTCGATATGGACCGAAACCAGGTAAGCCACAATAGTTCCACCGGCAGCGCTTAGTTTTGCTTATGGCTTGCGGTATAGTTTATCGATCTTTGTATCTTACTTGGCTGCGATTATTTGGAGCCGATTCCCAAAGTTGGACCCAATACTGCCCTGAAACTGATTCGGGAGTTTGGGAGCCTCGAGAAGGTTGTTGAGCATATGGAGAGCGATCCGAAGAAGAAATACGTTATTCCGGAAGATTGGCCGTACCAGGATGCAAGAGAGCTTTTTCTCAATCCAGACGTGAGGGAAGCTAGCCACCCAGACTGCGACTTCAAATGGGAGGCACCAGATATTGAAGGCCTTGTGGAATTCCTGGTGAAAGACAAGGGCTTTAACGAAGATCGAGTGCGCAACGGCGCAGCCCGGCTCCAGAAGAACTTGAAAACTGCCCAGCAGTCACGTTTAGAGGGCTTTTTCAAACCTGTGGCCCGGACCGATGAGGAGAAGGCGAACCTCAAACGTAAGCACGACGAGAAACTTCAGGAACAGAAAAAACGCAAAAAGGAGGAGGCTAAGGCCAAGAAGGAGGCCAAGGCAAGACCCCGCGGTGCGGGTGAGGGACTCGCTCTCCTTATTCAGTCAATGTTTTACACGACGAGGAAGTTCTTGAAAAGGCAACGGCTAAGTAGGGGGGTCGTAAAAACCATGAGATGGCGTTGGCGTTGCGTGATAAGCTCACTGGGTTGTCGGATTTGCTTTCTGTTCTGAGATGCGGCGTTTCATTGATGGGGTGCAATCACTGAATGTAACTTTTGGATATCCTATGAATAGAACTAATGGGTTTCTCTGGGTAAGAGGGCAGAGAGATGTGATCGTCTCTAGCGCCTGTTATCTTCGAGAACATGCCCTGTTGTTATCGGAGAATTTGCCATACTGGGTCGGTAAAATCAGGCCGCCATGTGCCGAGAGACGCTCTCTCTGAAACCCAGCCTGAATTCTGTGATCCCTCGGCGGATAAGCATGAAAAAGGGAAAGATAACTCTGGATCACATGGACATACTCATTCTTCACTGCCAGGCATTAAAAGGAATTGTTTCGCTGGTTGTAGCGGTTCGTGCTAGGGTTGGGCATTGTTGTAGTGGCGGACCACCATTGCACGTTAATACAGCGGATGTTGATTTCTCTGGTTATATTGGGAAATACGACCAATCTTCGCTCTAGATGGTGCAGCTGCTAGAATATTATCTCTAGACGACGAGGAATCACTGTTGTTTCCGTTGTGGTTGGGGAGATCAGGTTCAAAAACTTCTGGTCGAGTATTATATATCGTGGGCGGGGAAGTCGATGGATCCTGTATCACTGTAAGTAGTAGGGCTACCGAGTGATCAAAGAGATCCCAACGCTGGAACCTCAAGACCAACATATATAAACGGCGTAGTAATGAATAGAACCCATAACTTAGATATACAGACACATTAACCCAGCCAGAGGGGCTATTTATGTCGTGCCGGGGATCCCATCAATAGCCGCCATAGTGAGGTTGACACCGGGTCTGAGCCGAACATCGTTGAGTTATGAGCTGTCAGACCTAGCCTGGCTTATCCAGGGTACTAGAAGGAAACAGGAAATACATATCTAGTAGGAGGTATCTTGGGAAGATGTGAAATCATGATACGAGGTGGGGGTTGTTTGCTTGGGTATGCATGCCCGTTTTCTAGAATCAAATCATGGTCACGATCCTGAGGATCAACCACCGAGCGTGCACCCACCCCAACACAAGTGGGTTTTAGCTTGGTAGACTACAAACTAAATACCCCCCCCCATATTACTATATTTGAAGCACAGGTCCACCATAGGCAGTAGTCAAGGGGACATGGGTGGAATGTTTCTGTCCAGTGCAAAACACATGATTCATACATGCCTATGGCCAGCGCATCTGTTTCATGCCTTATAGTCAATCATCGGGGCACCAACCATGGATTGCGATCTATATTCTTCAAACAGAGGAACCAATAACCACACAACCCGTCAGCGTCTCAAGTATGGAATTTCCCAAGTTAGGAGCAAACTCAAACAGGCGATCCATACATCATCCCCCCTCGTGACCTAAACGGCACGAGGCGGCCAAATGGAAGCCTCCACGGGGGGTTTCCCACCATCGACAACATGCAAGGGACAGACAGCCCGACACCTTCCGTCTAGCTTAGACTCTTACAGAGTATAGTCAACCGGCAAGCTGCCAGGAGACCATGAGCTTGACCAAACAGCAAATTCCAATAGCCGATCTCAATGGATGTAGAACACCCCAAAATAGGTCTAGTCAATCCGGAATGGTTGATTCTGATACAGAGCCAACCAGGCCGTAAGGTAGAACGGCCAAAGACAATATTGATGAATCATCAAGCTTCAAGAATTAAATACCATAGCCATGATGATTGTGACGCACGATGATTGTCCTTGTCGTTGCGAAAGCCATCTGTGGATTGGGAAAAGATACGGGAATTAGGTACGTATACATGGAAGGAAGCGCGTGTCACCTTTCTCTTCTTTCTTTATTCCATCAAAGGAAGATACGAAGATAGAGAAGCTGACCATATACATGGGAATATTTCCCAAGGGATTGCTAGCTTAAGAATTATCCAGAGAAAAGAGAAAAATCAAGGAGGGAGGGGGATGGGGGGGGAGGAGGTGGAAGCAGAACGCGTAGAAAGACTGCGTGAGGGAGTGAGGATGTGCGATCTGTCGATGAATGCAATGGATATCCACTTCATGACCAAGAGCTAGCAATAAGGACTAACTCTTATCAGAATATTGATCACCCGAGAATACGGCCCTACCAATAATCTACCGAGAAAATGCACAAAGAAAAAAAGGAAAAAATCGTGGGAAAAAAAAGAGGAGAAACAGCAGAGGGACTTTGACGTGTAGGTGCTTGGGAGTGAGTGATCTTGTGTCAACACCCGCTGCCCTATAAAGCGCGGATGCCCCGCGGCCTTCCACCCCTTCCGTCGTCGACTGCTTTTCCTTCTGCTTCCACCAACGATTCACCCTTACGCCTGTTGAACTTGTATATCATCTCTTAGACTTCGGTCTCCCTTATAACTTCGACTTTAAAATCACAAGTCATACTTACCCACCCTAAAGATGCCTCCCAAGAAGCTTCCACCGGCGCAGAAGAAGACTGGCTCGACTCATGCTTCCTACCGTGGTATGATTTTACTGATCTTCCCTCACCACCACATCGCGTCAGGGTGATCTTATTATCGTTTTTGTCGCGAATGAATGCTGATTCATTTGATATAGATATGATTAAGGATGCTATCCTGAATGTGAGTTGATCACGCCATTCCCGAGGCGCTTTGGGAGATGGATGTTGGGTCCCAACTTCTCCGACCGTGACACGTCTGCACGGTGCTGGATCACCCCAACGTCACGTCGGAAATTCTTGAATATTCTTTCAAGCTGGTCGCTAACATTTTGTCCTCTAGCTGAAAGAGCGCAATGGTAGCAGGTATGTTAGTTTTTGTTTTTGTCTCGCCGCGCAAGGCCCCGTTCAGCGACGTGGCAGCCGCAGCACTCGTCCAAGTCGCGTATTGGGCTAACTTGATCGCCCCATGACAGTCGTCAGTCCATCAAGAAATATGTTTTGGCAAACAACAAGATTGCACCTGCATCTACCAACGCCTTCGATAGCCAGTTCAACAAGGCTATCAAGGCAGGCGTTGAGAAGGGTGAATTCACCAACCAAGGGTAAGTCTTTATATCGCGCGCGCATTTAAGAGTCATTCCCCCTGTGGCCACCGAACTGAGCATGCTATTGCCTGTGCCCTCTAATCTGTTACCGTCGCGTATCCCTTTGTTTTGATAAATGGTGAGCTGACGCGTCTTATCTCTAGGTCCTTCTGGACCCGTGAAGCTCGCCAAGAAGGAAGCTGCTCCTAAGCCTGCTGCCAAGGTAAGTGATATATATCTTCTCATCTGTTTAGACTTCAACATGATTAATATAATTATCAGAAGAGCACCACCACTGCCAAGCCGAAGAAGGCTACTGCCACTACTACTAAGAAGGCTGAGAAGGCCGAAAAGGCCGAGAAGCCTAAGGCGACCACCAAGAAGACTGGCACTACTACTGCCAAGAGGAGTGTCGGCAGACCCAAGGCAAACACTGCTAAGCCTCGCAAAGCATCTACTGCTGTACGTATCACCATCGGCCGCCCTTGTCCCGGAACTGTATTCTAACATCCAAGCAGGCCCCTGCCGTTGTCGACCAACCCAAGGTCATCGGCAAGACGAAGTCCGGTCGTGTGACCAAGACGACGGCCAAGCCTGAAAAGGCCACCAAGAAGTCTACCAAGAAGGCCTAAAGCCAATGTCTGGCAGAACATATTTTTGAGCGACTAGTTGATTTCCTGTTCGATTTGGTTGACTTGACGTGGGCTTCGGACTGTATCTTTTTCTTTTTTGGGTTGTATCCCTTCTTTCTTCGGCTGTAATTTCTTTTTATCTCTATCTTTTGTCGATGCGGTGACTGCTCCTGGGATATGTTGATGGTTTATTCTTTCGTTATCGGTAGGGTTGGCGTCTTGCGGTGGATATGGGAAACGTCTTATCTTTTTTTTCTTTGTGCTTGATATTTATTTAAAGCACGCGTCAGCGGACAGTGCTACGTTGTGAATGGAGTTGATAGCCATGCTTAAACGAGAGGTCCCCTATTCAGTTTCCGTGTAGAATTGTAGAAGCCCGGGTTGTGGTCTGGAGTGCAGATAAGTAAGGTATACTGAAGGTTCTTGTTGATCCGACAGCTATGAGAGGCATCTTACTGCTGACTGACATGAGCGGCAGCTTTCACAAATTCAAGGAGAGACGGGGCTTGGGACTGTCAATTGGGTCAATGCTCCTAAGTATTGATTTCTCATACATAGTATAACAATGCATATTCGATATTATGTGATCCGAGTCCAGGTTCTCACCTGAGGGGATAGAAGGACTCCTTCAAGCTCGCTGGGTCAATTCCAAAAATAGGAGATAGAAAGTACCCACTCGGTGAGCAGTAGTACTCCGTACTACTAGGTATTCGAAGAATAGCCTTGTAAGCACCTTACTTATTTATGGACGCATCTTCAGCAGACGGGTCTGCCACTTCGCAAGGCCCAATATTGTGTCAAGCCTGCAGTCTACACTCTTTCAATACACCACACATGACCTTGTTTAGTACTCTACCATACCAGGAAGAATGATGGGCAATACGCATAGGGGTTCATTGCGTCAGGATAGGACAGGATAGTTTGGGTGTGACGTTGGCACTGTCGATCATTTAGCACAGTACCCATCGCGGTGGAATAAGGAGGATCAGGCTGAGTTTGAGAACCCGATTATGGCGTAATCCTGTTAGAATGCTCATACTAAATAGTTTGTGAGTTACTCTGGGGGAGGAAGATAGCGACAGAGTAAAAGAAAAGAAGTTGAGTTTAATAGGTGAAATTATCATTATCATTATCATTATTATTATTATCGTTATTATTGTTGTTATTATCAGTATAATAATAATAACATCCTTTCTAAGTGACGCAAACATAACTTGGCCGAAACATTTCATTCCATGTTTCAAATACTACTTGGAAGCGACAATTGCAGCATGAGGTCTCTAGGCTACTTTCACGAGGATTGAATATATACTACTCCAGTAAGGATATACTAAAATTGCCACTAGTACAGCTGCAAAGGTTATGCAGTTTGCCGCCCGTGTCTGTGAAGTGTCACCTGTCATCGTGATACCTCCTTATACACGGTACTTCGGAATGTATGTACCCGTTGTTTCAGTGTGTAGTGTATGAGGCGACGACTCGGGATGGGCAATTTCTAACTGCTCTTGGCGGATATGCTCTGGGAACCGAATCCGATCAATCGGCCTATAAATTTCATGCAAAAGTGCCTCTGTACTACTAAGGTTCCGTGCAGAGTAAACCTTGGTCTTAGATTTTGTACCCGACATACCGTATGTATGTACAGACACATATCTATGCATAAGTACGCTGTGTGGAATATGGATATCGTATGGCCTAGATAGATCAAATCAATACTAGTACTGTACAAGTATTGTCACCTACTAGATTGTCACTGTACATATGATTAGGAGGAGGAATGGAATCAAATGGTAGATAAAGCAGCACATGGCTGACGTTCCTTATCTTCCATGATACAGCCGGGAGCCGTTCCTTGCTTATCTGTACGGAGTACAAACAATTACAATACGCAGAACTTCCCCGTTGCTGGAAGTAATTAAAGCTGACTACTTCATCAAAACTGTGGAGCAAAAGATCCATCCTTACCAGGAACAATAACTGACACACATGGGTCCTCCGGGTTTCCTAGCACTACGGAGTACTGCTCACTAACCAGCCTCCTTTACCTAGTGTCCAGTGAAAGAGACACCTGAAAAATAAGAATGAAAAGGGAGTCACTTTAGTTTTTCTGCCTGCCACGGGGCAAGATCCATCTGTTTCTTTATCCGCCACAATAAAGGTTCTGCATCCATGCATTCTATACCCACGACTAACTAGTACTTGGGAGGTTGGACGGAGTGCAGATACATACATACAGTACAAGGTACTTCACCTCATACATACCCCATACAAGTCATACAGTGTAATACCCCCCTTCTCCAGGCACCCTCTTTTTTTTCCTTGGTAAGGATTTTCTTTTCCTTTTTTTCCTCCCCCCGTCTGCCTGCCCAGACCCAGAATTACATTACCAGTCCATACCAAATCGTGAGGTCTTTTTTCCCTCCTTCCCTTCTCTACCTAAGAATAATACCGTCAGTCTTGGTTCCTCGTCCAAAGTCTCCCCCAACCCATCAATCATCCCCCATACGCCCGACTGGTGTCTACCTCTTTTCACACACTCTCTCTACTCGTCCTCCCTCCCCACCTTCTCTAATTCGCCCTTTAATCAACAACTCGTCCTTTCTACGTCTTTTGTCCGACTTCTCTTTCTTTTCGCACTCATTAATCGTCTTGGGACTCGAACACGTTTGCCTGTGCCGGTATTGGTCGACGTACATTTCGCCATTTTCCTTTCGTTTGATGAACATGCCAATCCGTCGCTAAATCTATGCCACGCCCTCCCCGGCTGGTGGCTTCAGCTCGATTCGGGGACTTTGTACTTGCATCTCGAACCCTGCCATTGATCGGTCGCTGTCACCCTCGTCTTCCCTCCCCCTTCCTTTCCTCGCTATCTTCCCTCCCGTCGTTGGCCGGAGACAGTCGACCCCGGTTCCCGCCCAGCACGCTGGCTGTTTGCTGAGCTTAATAGGCCCACGCAGGTCTCACGTCACCGTTCTATCCCCTCCTTTATATACACACCGTTTGGCGTTTCGACTTTGCGCCGGAGTCGAAACCTAGCGACCATGCCATCTTTTTCTAACGACAGCTCTTATCAGACGGCCACTGCCACAGCTACCCACCCTCGTTCTTTTGACTCGCCGCCAGGGAAACCACACGATAAAACTCCCGTGGGTAACACTTTTCTGTGGACAAACTGGCCCAATGGCGACACCAATCACCTTGACACCCCCGGAAACGACCGCCAACCGCTCGCGAACGGCAGTGTGTACTCTTTGAATGGGCCTCGGTCAAGCGCTAGTTCTTACACTCGGGATCTGTCACACTCGAAAGATGGAAGCATGCATTCATTAGGCCATGTACCGGCCCGGGACCCCCGGGATGGTGGACGGCCTTCCATGACGCACGAACAGGATTTCGCGCGGAAATCTACCGATGCAGGAGCCGGGGCAGGTTCAGCGACGGCGTCGATAGCCAGCCAGCAGCCGAACGGCACATCACTCAACTCACGATCACCAAATGGAAGACCGCTGATGAATGGGGATTATGCTCGACCTTCTGCCGATGGACTGGTTCCTTCGGAATCCATGGGGAACGTTTCGGAAACATGGCCGTCAACTTCGCAGCCCATCGACACAGGACGCCTCTCACCTGACCCTGATTGCCTATCCCCGTCGCAGAAAAGCCCCCATCGATATTCTTCTCCACCGCTCCCATCTGGCACAGAACAGCCAGAACCGGCGAATTCCGGCCTTCGACATCGGCATACGCTACAGGTTCCAAGAAACGCTAGCGGCCGTCGAAGTAGTCGCGACCACTCCGAGGATGCGGCATATACCAGCGGACGATTGTCTCCGACAGGAGGGGTTCGTCGTACCTCTTTCAGTCTTGGCCGCCGGGCCAGCAAGACCAATCGCTCAGATACCTTCCTGGATGAAGCTAATCCTGATGAAGATGCAGCCAGATGGGCAGAAGCCATCAAGCAACGGCGGGCTTCAAAGCGGAGACGCCGGGATGACGACGATGACGACCGTGTCATCGTGGGAACAAAGGTGGATCAAAATCATGTGAACTGGGTTACAGCGTACAACATGCTCACAGGAATTCGGTTTACCGTCTCGAGAATTAATGCGAAGATGGACCGGGAGCTCACCCCTGCGGACTTTGAGGCGAAACATAAATTTTCTTTTGACATGTATGCCCTAGTGCCCCCATCCCCTATCCTATGGTCACTCGTTCTTTCACTTACACTGGACCCGTGGGCAGCACTGGCAATGAGTTAACACCTTCTGCCAAATACGACTTCAAATTCAAAGACTATGCGCCTTGGGTCTTCCGGCATCTGCGAACGAAGTTCCGGATTGATCCTGCTGACTACCTAATGTCTCTCACAAGCAAGTATATTCTTTCGGAATTGGGCTCGCCTGGGAAAAGTGGCAGCTTCTTTTACTTTTCGAGAGACTACAAATACATCATCAAAACTATACATCACTCCGAACACAAGCTATTACGCAAAATTCTCCCAGAGTATTATAAACACGTCGAGCAGAATCCCAACACGCTGATCTCGCAGTTTTATGGCCTTCACCGTGTCAAGATGGCCTATGGACGCAAGATCCACTTTGTGGTCATGAACAACCTCTTCCCGCCTCATCGTGATATTCATCAGACATTCGATCTGAAGGGCTCGACGATCGGCCGTGACTTGCGCGAAGAGGACCTTGAGAAGAACCCACGAGCCACTCTGAAGGACCTAAACTGGGTCCGGAGAGAACGTCACCTCGAGTGTGGACCATCGAAACGGGAATTTTTCCTGGCACAACTTGAGCGGGATGTTGAATTATTGAAGCGGCTCAAGATCATGGACTACTCTCTATTAGTGGGCATCCATGATCTAGAGAGAGGAAATGAGGAAAAGCTTCGTGACAAAACTCTGCAAGTTTTCCAACCCGGTGGTGATCGAGAAGAAGAAGCGAACCCGAACATGCTCATGCGCACACCGTCAAAATTGGAAAATGAGCGCAAGGCCCGTGAGCTACGAATGTCCCTCAAACGTGAACGCCCAGTGCCTCTGGACAAAGCAACTGCAAAG